TTTTTTTTGAACATAACAGCACCTCTTTCAACTTGCACCTTGATAACTGGAAAATTGTAGTTTGTATCTAAGAAGTTTGGGTTTCTGGTATTTCTGCACCTAGGCTGTGGATTGGTTGAAACAAGCACTCCTGCCCTTTTGATTAAGATACAGGATGACATAATAAAACATCTGAGTCACCCAGGTGGTTTCTCAAGTTCAAAAAAACCCCAAAAGACCAACAAGATAAATGTTTTGGTTCTCTCCTTACTTAAATGTTGTGACTAATACACCTTTCAGACTTTCTTTGTTTAACTTGGGAGTAGGAAACACAGCAAAAACCTTAGGGTGTTGTGACAAAACAATCAAATTAGATCCATATCAAATTGAAAAAAATTGTTCTTTTTAATTAACAAAATATGTTGAAAGTTTTTGTCCTGGCATGTCCTGAAGGCACATGAGGCTAAGATTGTGCATAAATTTATGTAGTTTAATGCCCACCCTTGGGGCACTAAACATTGACATTGGCACTTTTTTCCAATTAAATTTTGCTTCATTCTTGTATTTTTTTTTTCCAGAAAGGCTTTTCAGAGAGAGGTAGTTCTTGTTTTAAGCCTTCCTGCCTTACAACAGGGTGTAGATTCCTTACCACTTTAAATGTTTTGCAGGCTAATTCTGCATTAGAACTCCTATCAGAAAATGAATTACGTTGCCCTGCTATAGACTTTTCCAGGAAAATAGAGAGGGAATGTACCTTAAAAATACCTATAGGTTCCCAGCAGTAACAAATTCCAAAAGCATTAATAACTTGTACCCAAAAGGCTGAACCAAAACCTCTTCACATTACAGGAGAAGTGCAATGTGTGGTCTCTGTTGTGCTGGGTTTTGTGCAGGAGCTAGTCAAGAGGAAAGACCCCAATCTTATTCTTACTCAATACCCTCCAGAGCTTGTTTCAGTCCTTAGCAATATTGCTCACAGATTGAATGTGATGGGTGAATCAATTCCTAGTGATGATACATAATTTATTGGCTCAGAGGTTGCCATCTTTCTAATACAGATGCTATTCCTTTGCATTTCTATTTTTTTATTAGATGTTCCTCTTCACATATACTTTGAAACATTATTGAGGAGGGATGACATCAAAGGAGAACCTGCTGATACCTCATCTTTGGGAGGGGAGTTTAAAGTATCTGCTGACAATGGTATGTAAAGCAAAATATTTTAGTATTTGCAAGGCTATTTTTTCATTCATTTGTCATTATTTTCTGCCGTGAAGAGGTTCAGTTTATGAACTTGTCATAAAGCAGGTTATCAGAGAAGGTAACTGAAAATGGCTTTAGGTGGAAGAGGAATCTTTTCTCACACCACAGTGTCAAGTTCTCCTTAATTGATCACTGAGGTGATCCCACCAGCGCTGTAGGAGGTGACTACAAGTGAGGGGAGTTTGGACCAGGTGCCTGACTGCAGTCCTGTTACTGTTTGGATTCCTGTCAGAAGTTTGGGGCTGTTACAAATAGTTCAGCAGTTGAGATTTCCTGTAAATTGTACCTATGAAAAGTCATTTCTCAACTTGATACATGTTTTTTCTGTCAAACAATGGAGCAGTGGCTGTTTGTCTAATTCCAAATCTCAGTTGGTGTTAGGAGCACCTGACCAGCTGTCAGAAGGAAGAAAGAAAAGGCATCTAAGTGAGACAGCAGTAGGTAAGAGAAAAATAGCATTGCAAGAGGCCAGTACACCTTTTAAAATATGTACTGTATGAATATTTCTGGGCTCTGAGAATTAAAAGTTGTCTCCAAAAAGAATATTGTTATGAAATTTATGAAGAAACGGACTTAGAACACCACGAAAATAATTTGCTATTTTAAAGCATAGTAATCATCTTTCTTCTTAAGTGTACATACAGAATGAGACATGCTGTTGTATTTTATTTTTGGAGTACTCTTAAAGGAAATTGCTCAGCAGTTCAACTGTGGTCTTCTAATACTGGGTGTCATTTTTAATACAAAAGGGTTTTTTAACAGTAGTCAGTGAAACAGACATTGCAAAGTTATCTGTTAAGTCATGTGCCCAATGAAACATTTACTATTCCTGGCATCTTTGTCCACTGTATTTTATTTCTTGTGTTCTGTCATTTGTGGTCCTGGATTCCTTCCAGACTTAGAATTTGTGGATATGTGTCTTAGAGAATTTGTGGATAGCCAGTTCTTACTGTGTTTTCACCCTTGTTACCTTTTTATTTTAAGCAAATGAATCTCTACTTCAGCACCTGGTAAATTAATAGGAAGTGCCCTAAAAGTTCTGTAAAATAATGTGATAATGTAGGGATAAAAAATACAGTATGCCACAAATGGCACCTTACCTCTCCAGGCTGTTAGAATGTAAAGCCTCACAGATTCTGTTACAGGTTCATTTATGTAACTTCTGGGAAACCTTTGGCAAAATTCTTCTCAATTTGAGAAAAACAAGTCAATGAGCAAGAGGGGAAACCATATTAGTTTAAAATTTCCCTTAGGAAAGAATGAAAAGGTATAAATGATCAGTTAACATTGTAGAAAAATTAACTGCTGGTGCATATCCAGGTGAAACTGATAGTGTAATCTTTCACTAGAGGTGGAGATACAGGAATTACTGCAGGGATGAATTAATAAAAAATTATCATCTAGGATTAAACCCCAAAACCCATAATCCACAACCCCAAAGCAAGACTACCCAAATAATTAGAAAGTTTTAGGAGAGAATAAAATCCCCTTCACACCAGTGATCCTGTTTTCTGTGCCACCTGCTCCCCTGACCACTTATTGCTCCCCAAGAAGTAGATGCTGACAGCTTCTCAGTTTAACTAAGTGTAGTCATGAGCACTGAGATCAACCACTGGAGTTACCTGGGAGCACTAGTAAGAGAGAAAACATCTTGCTATAAACCTTTTGAAGGTACCATTAGATTTCTGACAATAGTATTTTGTTTTTTATAAATGGAACAGATAAAGCAATCTTTTATCATGAGCATCATCCCAGTGCCAGAAAACTGTTCTGTGGTGCATTCATGAGTAGGAGCCCAAGTTCTAGCTTATTAGTGCTATGGGTGTAGTACTGCATATTTATTCCTAATTTGGGCTCTATCTAGGAGAAATTATCCATCAGCCTAATGAACAAAGCCAAAAATAAAAGCTGTGTGCCAGGGAGTTGCAGAACTGCCTGGGAGATGGTAGTTCATGACCTTGACCCAGCTTGTGCAATAGAGTCTTTAGGATCAGTCTTGCCTCTTTTTCCATGTTTTATTCGTTGGTATATTAAGTCTGAGTTCTCCTTTCTTACTGGAAATGAGGTAGAAGGAAAGCAGAACAGGTGGTTTAATTATGAATCCTACTAAATGTTGCTTATACTGGGACTGAATGGGGGTAAACAGGAATTACAGTTTGTCTGGAGCAGTGAATCAGAAGAAGCTGCTGTTGGTTTGGAGATCTAAACTGATTTTGTTTGTTACCCTTGCTACCAGTTTTATCATTTATTAAGGAAGAAACAGTCAGGGAGAACTTGTGAGATGCACTCCAACTAGAGAAGTGCTGCTGGGGAACAGGGGGAATCTAAGACAGATTGCATTTGCTGTGTGTGTAGTCTATGACAACTCCTGAAAAAAAAGTCAGGATTTCCCCATATAAAGCTGATTCCATGAGAAGTAATCCTTCATAGAATAAGAGAGATGAGTTTTGTGAAACAATAATGACAGGATGAATAGCAACTGTTTATTTAGATGGCTTTTTTTAGTATCCAGTAAATTTTAAGTGGCTCACTGTGGGCTTCTAGAAATGACTTTACTATTAGTGTGTGGAAAAATTTCTGCAGTCTAATAACCAACAGCCAGTATGTCTTGTTTATTGCTATATTTTATGACAGGTGAAAGCAGTGCTCAGTTTGAGACATTCTCCTTCCAACATGCAGAGCCCGAGTCCCACAACAGCTTTACTCCCACGAGCAGTGTCAGTGCCATGTCTCGGCCCAGCCACAGCTCTTCATCACAGGTAAACCAAAAATGTGTCACTGTCCCCAGGAAATATCAACACAGAGTCATGCAAATTAATAATCCAAGGCCATATGCCTTTTACCTCTGTCACAGTGTCCTATGACAGTGCAGAGCATTTTTACAGTGAATGAAGTGGATTGCATTAACTAATGTATTCCAGATTGAGTATATGGTGTTTCTAAAACAGATACTTGCTTGTAAAAGAATTTTGCAGATCATATAACTGGAGTGTAAGTTTGATTTATTGGCATTGTGCCTTCTTTTTTTTCTAAGTTTCATTAAATGCACTGTGATTTATGTTACCAGTTTTGCACTGGGGAACTTACAACCCTTTTTCTTGGTGCAGCTATATAAAATGGCCTCATGGTGCAAATAGAGTCAGAAAATTTGTTAACTCTCAGTTTCCCTATTTATGCAGAAATATAGTCAAAGTCCCTGGTTATATAATTTGCTGAGGAGCAGCAGAACTTTAGCTCAGTGTACAGAAACACACTGTTTTACTGGAATTAATGGAAAATTCACAACAATATTCAGATTCAGGTGCCATGGTTTTGCTAAGCCTAGTGGTATATGGGATATGTGATATAGTGGTCTATGGTGCTCTGTAATTTGTCATGCTTTAATGCAGAGTTGAGTTTAAATGTGTGTCCCACAGAGTTTAGACAACACACATTCCTTTATTATAAATTTATTTATTATCCCTTGTTATAAATACATATTATAAAATATGTTATAATAAAATCAGCTTTTTGCAAATATTAAAATAAATGCTATATGTATAATGTTAAAATAAGTTTACTATAAAAATACAGGGGTTTTTTCTGCTATTAACAAAACTTAAACATAGTAGTGAAATAGCTAATATATAGTTATACTTAGAATTGAACTGCCTGTTTAGTTAGAATAACATCCAGAAAACATGTGATAAAAACCCTACTACTAATATGCCAAGTATCAGCACCTGCCATCTAAAAAAAATATAAACCAAGGCCCAAACTGAAGGTAATAATAAGAATAAACTAAAACCACAGCCAAAAAACATGCGAGCTCTAAAAAAAAGCCTAAAGACCAGCTACACTAAACAGTTCCTAGAGTATGTAAACTAGTTTGTAAAAAATATTTAAATATGCATAATAGTTTATAAATACACAACAGGCTGATAGAATAAAAAAAGTATTTAAAAAGTGACTCCAGAGATACTCGCAGTGCTCTTGGCTGAATGCCAAACACTCAGCTGTTAACCCTTTGCTTTATTATCTTTGTCTTCTTATTGTCTTTTATTAAACTTTTTAAATTTTACCAGAAAAGTGAACCTGGTTTTTCACACCCCTGAGTTGATCATCCTCAAAGAGCACATAAATGAGCATTTCAGAATACTCTGTTTCCATTAAAGTTCAGGTTTTCTCCTTGGGAAGTTCTAATGTTTCTCTGCTAGCATGTATTTCCTGTGATTTGAGCTGACATGCTCTGGTGTTGATTCTGTTACTCAGCATAACTCCAGGAGGAGGTTGAGAAGTGAGAGCTCCTATGATATAGACAACATTGTTATTCCCATGTCACTGGTGGCACCATCAAAGCTGGAGAAACTACAGTACAAAGAAATCCTTACTCCAAGGTTTGTTCACAACCTCTTCCATTGCAAAGACATGAAAATGAACATGAGAACATTAATTAAGAATATAAGTTACACAGAGTTAGAAAATGTTGTAATATTAAAGATGATCTTCTCATGCACTTGGGTTTTTATCTGTGCATTTCAGTTCATGTGACTGAAGTGGTGGGAAGACTGGACAGCTGATAGCACAGGAGAAATAGTCTGGTATACACAGGGATGTGGGAGATGCACAAGCTGCTAAAAATAGAAGTGGATTTCTATAATCTTTGTAGTAGTTATGGCCTTTAATAACTTTTAATTTAATAATAATAATAATAATAATAAAATAAGGCTGACAAGCTCTGAACGGGTTTTTGGAGATGGCTGTCTTTTTTTGTGTGTTCACAAGAAAGTAGTGAACTATTTTCTGTGAATTAACAGAAATGTATTTGGCTTTTATTTTTTAAATTTAGCTGTTCTGATACAGTGGAATAAGCTTATTTCTTTCCATACAGTGTAGGCCTTCAATCCATGAATCTAGAGACCTTTTTCTCCTTGGCTTTAGAAAGAGAACATCTTTAGATTTCAAAAACAGGGTGATTGGTCTCCTCTGCTTACTCCAGTGTCTTAGTAGCAATGTTGCCTGAAGTGGTAAATGTACTTGTTCTGTACTTTAAATCCATAATATGTATTTGCTCTTTTATTGTCTTTTAAGTTGAAAAGTATTATTACAACTGTATTGGATATCTTAAAGACTGTTTTAGGAAAAGTAAAGGTTAGATACCTTGTTTGGAAAGGAAAATATAAATTTCAGCAACCTGTTATCAGCACCTTAAACTGAATTTGATTTTCTTTGTCTCATTTCTAGCTGGAGAGTTGTTGAACTTCAGCCTTTAGAAAAATCTCAAACAGATGAAGAAGAGGTAGGCTGAACTTTAATTAATTAAAGTAGATACAATATATAATTGGGGTAATTGATACGTACTTTCTGAAAACACTGACTTCATAAAAATCCCAGTAAGTTTCAAGTTTCAAAAATTAAGTATTAAGTATCAGATTGTGAAAATGTGTCTTATCCCTACAGTGGAAGAGAGAAATGCAAACATACCATTAATATTCCTTGTTCATTGTTTGTGTGGCTCTTGCCCCTTGCTGCTGCACAGTCAGCACTTCCAAAGGCTGTGCCCCCCTGCTCCTGAGCACTGTAATGCTGCCTCTCCCAGTGGGATTGTGTTCTGGGGCCACCAGTGTTGTCCCTCCCTCTCATCCTCTCCTCCCATGGCCAGTTCTCATGGCATGTTGTTCTTCATATGCTGATCAGGCATCTTGCCTGTGGGTCCAGCAAGTTTCCTCAGTTTCCTTTTCTGTGTTTGCTTTCTTGCAGCCCTCTTGTTGGGAACAAACTTTTCTGCATTGTCAGGAACAAAATAACCTTCAGCATTTCCTGCAGGCAGGTTGAGCTAAGTTTGCAAATCATGGGCTAGTTTTGCTTCCTCCAGATGTAAGAATCTACCTTTTTCTTCAGGGAATGTCCATGGACTTTGCAGCTGGGGGGTCCCTTTCTCCCCTAGTCAGAGGTTTGAAGCACTTCCAAACCTCAGGGTGAATGTACCAGCAAGTGTGGTCTCTAGGCTGATTTTCTGTCCTTCCAAACTTCTTGTGGCTTCTTTTCCAGAAACCTGTCAGTTTTGCTGTCCTTTGGACATATTTAATTTCCCTCCAGTCTCTCCCACTATCACCAATTGTAACTGTAGGGCTTGTATTTCTGCCTTTATCCACAATATCTGTTTTTGAGCTGCTATTTGAGAGAAGCTCTAAAGCAGAGGTTTACTTGCCATAGCAGTAGAAAAAGATGGCATTTAGGTAGCAGTGCAGAAGGTTACATTAAAGTCAGAAAACAAATCATTATGCCACTCCCTTGGGGTAGAAAATGTGCTCTCCACAAGGCACAGACTTCCTCAGAGGTTTACTAGGTCTGTAGCTACCTGCTCCATAACCTTACCTTTAGGAGAACATCATGGTCTCAGCTCCTTACTTGGTGTAGTTGCACTTATCTGGCAGCACACTTTTGGGTTGGAAGGAAGAGAAAAGCTAACTTTGTCCCTGCCTTTTCCAGTACAATTGAGAAATTCCTGTGAAATCTGTGGTCAAATTTATGTCACTTCCACCCACTGATTTGTGGGTTAGTACCATCCCAGCTAGCAGGAAACATGCCTGTCCTTTCTTTGTACTCAGAAGGTCAAATTCCACACACAGGAGAACTCTCCTGCAAGGATATTTAATTAAACCGTGTGGAGAATAACTAATAAAGGCAGCAAGGGCACACTGTCCCTTGAGCAGCTACTGTTCATTGCTGTCTTCATCCTGGTGTCTGGGGGGGAGTGAGGAATTTCAGCAGTGATTTGCATTCAGGGCTTCAAGGAACTTGCATGGAATCTGTGGATTTCATGTTTAGATTTCAGATCCCATAGAGATGACTTGTCTCGTGCTTTTAGTGTATTTTGCTGAAGGGACTTCAAGGTCTCTCTCTGAAGTTCATGGGCTAATGTTTGAATTAGTAGCCCACCCAGTACATTTGTGTTTGGCATGACTCTCAATCCTGTATGATTCATCCTCTGGCCAGGAAATAACTTGAGTTAACAATACAGCAGCTTTGCCTCCTGCTGTGGCCCACTGCTTCTGTATCATCTGTCAGCTACTGGGTGGAATGAGGGGGAGAGATGTCAGACAGAGAAAAATTCTAATCATTTTCTTTGTGGAAATTTTTAAATCTTTTCTTTTAGGATGGTGTTAATTAGTTTGGGTGTTTTTCAGAGTACTTAGAAGAGGTGATTGATCATAATTCTTCAGCTTCCTCTAGCTTTGAGCTGAATTATATTTGCTACTAAGTAAGCTTGTAAAAAGACATGAGGAAACAGCACCATTACCTGTTGGCATTTTCTGCACTCATGCTCTGACACTATTGAAATTGCTTCATGTGCTAAAGTCAAGGCAAGCTTCAGTAGGTCATTCATATAACACAAGGGAAGGCAAAACATACTTTCTGCTTTTATATAAAATGTTCTTTTTCTTTATTTGACTGTATAGTAGCCTGTGGTGGTGCTGGAAATTATGTAACTTTAAAAATTTTTTGTGGTACTACATAATAGTTTCTTTACTTCTCTGTCCTCTGCATAGCTAAATTTAAAATTTCAGAGTTGTCCTTTTGTCAAGCAGTAGTCAGGGATTTCGGTCACTATATAACTTTTTTTTCCATCTTAGTTATCATCTTCATCTTTGTCTCCTTCTCTGTCTTCTTCATTTAGAGGGTTTCAGTGCAACAGCCCATATCCCTGCAATAGACCTGCATCCAACATTTACTAAATTACAAATAAATGTGAGGTCCCCAATTTGTCATGCTCCACGTGAGCCACACTTTTGAGGATAGGAGCTCAGCACTTTCTGGGAATCAGACCTATTATTCATTGTGCTTTTGTGAACAAAAAGCTTACCTTTTATGGGTGCATTTTTGTTTCTGGAAATTTTGCCTTATAAGAACAAAATTGGCAATGCAAAAGTTAATCTACTATCTATGTCTGCTCTATTACTTGTTCTAAAAATACTTTCTGGAAATAGAACATTTGAGTTTCCTGGTTTGCATGTATGAATTTGCAGTCTTATTGCTTTAAGGCATGGGAGGGTGTGGTGCAGGTTTTCCTGTTTTGTTTTGGTTTTAATTTGTTTTGTCAGGTTAAAGCTTCTGGAAAGGCACAGTTGTAACGTTTAAGTTTGTTTTGTAGTTGTTTTAATAATGACAAATTCTTTGGAGTAATTCCTTGTGCAGCTAGTTTTGCATAAGTGTTTTCATGGCCTATGACTCAGAGTTTCCTATGGAGCCAAAGAGCGAAACACAGATTTTGTTGTTTTGAGAACCTTTCAGAAATATTCCTGATGCTATTCAACATTAATGCACAGTGTGATGCAGTGTCATGGGGGGATCCAAAGCTTAATTTTCTTTGAGTGAAATCATTAGACATGCCTCCCAAGCAGGCGTTCCCCATAGCCTTTTCTCTCAACATCACTGCCAGATCCACCCACTGAGGAGTGACACTTCTTTTGTCCTTTTTCAAACTAACCTTAGCGAGGAAAACCCACCAAATTTCTCCTGTTACAGAACTTTAAATTAATCTAAAGTTGTTAGAGGAAATGCTGGGGAGTGGCAGAGGCTGTAGTGAACCAAGTATAGACCTTTTATTCTGATGTCATGAAATTTTTATCCATAGAACTGATAGTAATTTTTTAAATAAGAAAATTTACTTTTCAAAAAATAGGGTAAAACTCATTTTAAATAAAGAAGTGGTTAAATAAGCTATCACCAGTTGTGGAAAACAAACAAGGCTTATTTCTGTATTTTTCAAAACTCTTCACTTGAAGAGGAATATGGACTTCAATTTTTGAATGGCAACTTAAAAATGAAATCTCTTCCCAGCATGAAAAGTTTTGGCAATTTGCTAAGAAAAATATTTTCAAATTCCTGAGTTTTTCTTTCTAAATTGTCTTTTGTTTCCACTTCAAAGGAAATCTGAGCACAGAAAAATGCTGAATTTTCCCCAAGGGAATAACACTTCAGTAGTTCATAAAATTCTCACTTTCATGCTGTACATCATTGACCTTGGAAAGGCAGAATGTGAACTGAGATGTAGCCCTGTTTGGATCCTTTCCAAGTGACAGAGCTGATGAATTTCAGAGAGAGGAGGAAGCCCATTAAGTTCACTTGAAAGGAAACCAGCAGCTAACAAAGTGGTTTGTGTTTAACATAAATAAATAAAAGCAATGAAGGAGCCTTCAGCAAGGAGTGATGAGATGAGCAAACTAAGCAGCCTGCTTGTCTGAAGGTTCTTGTCCAGTGCTGGCCTGAGGAGGAACTGGGCAGCCACAGTTCTGTGTGATGAGTCCTGTGTCTGATTCCAATCCAAAGGAAGCCTTTGGAATCACAGTGATTGGTTGTGATACTCTGCCATTGTACCCCTAATGGCTGTGAACCACCTCGGTGCTGAGACACTCGATCTGGGGATGGCTTCTACAGAAACACGATGAAGTGGAGCACTGCCAGTGGCACTGTGTCTCTGTGGCACTGCCTGGCACTGCAGTGAGGACCATGCATTTGGTTCTCTGTTTTGTAGGCTCAATTGGAAAATAAATGGTGTTACTTGTACAACTCCACTGAGGATTTTGCTTTAGAAAAAAAAATGCAGTTATTTTCCATGACCTCCCAAATTATTAGTATAATTCTTGTCTGGGATTGATCTGGCAGTGCAGCTTCACAGCTCCTATGACCAAGAATTGTTCTTTCCAAGAATTTCTCAGCTTTTGAGCTGGGACTAGCTGGCATAAAATCCACGGCTGCAGCACTCAAATACTGCTGCCAACCTCAGCTTTTTAGGTGAACTTTGAATGGTTTGGAGCACTTTGAAACAACTGTGAGCTGTACTGGAGGGATCCAGCCAAGAACACCCCCTGCCATCAGGGGAGTGAGGGGGAAGGGCAGCAAAGTGCTGTTTTGGATAAGGAACAAACTTCCTGGTGTGTTCAACTGGTGGTGAACAAACTTTTGCCATCATGGAAACACAGATGGTATTTCCACAGTGAAAGTCAAGTGCAATAGCCTCATCTTGTACCTAAAAAGCTGCTTTACTACAAGCAGGTAAAGTACTTGCATTAGGGCTGCTTTAAGCTGTATTTGCGATCATGCAAACTGTTGGGTAAGAAATAGTATCTTCAAAGCAGAAGCCGTTTTCTGCTTGGTTTCACAGCAGGAATGTGGCACCTCAGGTTCACTGAATTCCTCTCTGTGGAGTTATCAAAGTCCTTGGTGATCTCAAACCTATTTCTCAGTGCTTAAAAGAGCACCTGGCAAATCCTGCTGCCTCCCAGCCTCCTCCTAAAGCAGTCTCTGGAAACTGTTGGAATTTTTCCTTGTCTTTATTATGTACTTTTAACACTGCCTTGATTTGCAAATGAATACTTGTCCTCTAAATTTTCTGCCTCTCACCACAGAGAAAAATGTGTTAGTTGCAGGGAGGGGGTATAACTTCTATATCCATTCAGATCAACCACAGACATGTAAAGAAATAAAAATCTGAAATGACAGCATCACCACATGAACGCATGTAAATGTGCCTTTGTAGTGAAAGCATGCATTGTGTTGCCTCTTCTTGTTTGTTGAACAGATCTTTGCAGAATCATTTCTAATACAGTCTGGTGTTGTTTTTAGTGATGCTGATAATGACAGCTGTCCCCGTGTCTGGTTGCAGGTAGAAGATCTGTCAGACAAAGCTTTTTCCCTGCGCCACACCAAGTACGAGGAACGGGAGCGTGCCAGGTGGTCGCTGTGGGAGCAGAGCCGCTGGCCCAGGAGGAACAGCAGGCAGGTGTATTGGCTTTGATCAGAGCCTTCCTATTGAACCTGGTGTGGGTTGTGGTACAGGACTCTCAGAAATGCTGTCACAGACGTTTCAAAATGAGGGCACCATTAATTAACTCATCAGGGACAGTACCAGGTATGTTTAATTAGTGGCTGGTAAGGGAAGGCAATGCTGAGGCATGCATACTTATAGAAATTGGACATGTTAGTGACCTGGCATTACTAAACAATTATCTTCCTTCCTCACTGAACACACAGCTTTGCTAGACTGCCACTCCCGGTTACTATGACTTTAGCCACCCAGTGTATCCTGAGTCCTTCTTCACTCACCTGACTCAGATGAAACTCCACAGCGTTCAGAGATGTGTTACTGAAGGGACCTGGGCTGTGCAATGGGCCTAACACTTAGAAAGTCATCGTGTGAATTCTCACAAGCTTGCCATCCGGTGCAGAACACATTAGATTTAAATAAAACCACTAAAAGTCTTGCAAAAAGTAGTGGATATCAGAAAAAATATCATAAAGCTGCACCTGCAGTTTGGCCGTGAGAAAATGATTCCCATAAATCACATCATAATCTGCCAGGGTAAAAAGCAGCCTATAAATGCTGAGATAACTTTCTCTGCTATTTATCACATGCTTGTGTCTACTCATGTCTGAAAGTGAACTATGACACTAGGAATAAATAGACAAAGATAGCTTTTTTAATGCAGGATAAAAATAGAGCTAAGCCATCTCGAGGAATTTCATTTTAAGCAATTTTGAACATAAAAACTCCCAACTTTAGAAGGTGTACTGAAAATAAAAAGTTATTTATGTACCCTAATATTGAAACTGTGAACTCCTTGATAAAATCTTAGTGTTGCTTGAATTCAGAAGTAAACTGCTCATGAGCAAGGTCGGGTTCCACCTGGAATTTCAGATGCATGCCACTATTTTATATTTAGTTTAAATTTCTATTAAAAATCAGTTCAAATTATTTAATCTTACTAGATTTTTGATTGCTTTGCACTTGAGTCCAGAGCAGAAGTGGTAAGGGGGAGCCCAAGGACTTGTCTCTCGAGTTGCACTTGGCACAGTGCTGACAGTGCAGTTTGGACCCCACGGGCTCCTGTGGGTGATGCCGTTCTCCCGAGCAGAACAGCCTGTGGCTCACTGATTTCTTTTGTCCAAAATCACAGTTCTGGTGAGCATGTGGAGCAAGATGCAGAGTGGGATCAGTCACTAGCTGTCTGCTGCCACAGTGTGCCTGTCCCACCCATTTTTATCCATTTTGTTCCTCCACATAGCACTTTGCTTTGGCTCCAGCCATCAAGGTCAAGAACCACACCAGTTTTCCTCTGCTCCTTTGGTTTAAGCAAGCAGAATGGAGGTAGCATGTATGGAGAAACTGAACACTTTGAAAAGAAAATGTGAACTGCTCATGGCAATGTGAAATGGCAGGGAGTAGCTCTTAAAACTCATTTCTAATTCTGCACTAGGTCTTACAGCAAAAATGCTGATGGTCGACACAGCCAGGACTCGGTGCAGAAAGACCATTGCACTGCTGACCCTGCTCCTGACCCAACCTCGGAAGCACACAGCTCTGTTTGTTCAGGGATGGCACCACTCTGCAGGGAGAGTCAGGAAGAGAAGGTGGGTACCTCCAATAGCTTCCAGGTCTGGTCAGTTCTTCAGTGACAGCAAAGAAACCTGAAGATACTCTCCTGTCTCACTGATCAGAATCTCAGGCTGTCACCCAAGTTAACGTGCACTGAACTCCTGTTTAGAACAGGAGTAAAAAGTTTAAAAGTTTCATTGCTCAGTGAATGGCATATGTTTTTGAGGCAAATATGGAAGGACTGGGTTCGGGCTGGGGTTTTTTTCAGGGGTGTTGGCCAAGGTTCCAGACAGGCCTGGTCACTAGGGAGTCAGGCATCCTGATGGTCTGGCATTGTGGGTAAGTGTTTCCTTGCCTGTTCAAGGGTAAATCTATTATTAGTTCAAAACCTTATGCAGCCAGCTTACATCTTGGTGCCTGTCAGTGTTGTATTCTTTATCTGAAGAGTCCTGCAAACACTGTAAAGAAAGACACTTGTTTGATACTTGATAGCACATGATTCTGCACATAGTTAATCAGTTCAGACTCAACTGAAATCCCTTTTTATCCTCTACGCTCTTTTTTCCACCCTCACTCCTACTCTTCTGCTTCCTTTCAGTCTGGGCTGTGGGAACTTCGAGTTTTTCCACTAAAAGATGAAGAGGTAGAAGCTTTACTGTGCCAAGATCAAGTAACGAATCAGACTGAAATGTCAAGTGCAACTTTCCCCAGCAACTCTCCCTGCACTCCAGGCACACCCACTGCTTTGCCAGACAATGGCTGTCCACCAAGAAAACAATCTACCCAAGAGTCAGAAGACTGCAAAAGCATTTGCCTGGGAAGCAACAGTACAAGGAAACAAAGGTGACAGGGAATAATGTGGTTCATTAAGAAAGCCAATTAATGTGGAGAGAAGTGTAAGGTAAAATCTCTCGTTCACACAGCATATGACAGCACAAATCAAAACCTTTATGTTAGCTGCATATAATATATTTTCTTTCTTGCTTTGTAACAGGCAGGATAAATCCCAAAGACAACACTTTCTTCTTCCTGAACCCCAAGAGAAAGTAATTATTTCAAGCTGGAAGTCTAATATTCCCAATGTCGGGAGTGGGCGCACATAAATTGCTGGCACCATTCACTTTCTGTTGTCATATTGCCACATTTGTCAATAATCATCCTTTTCTGTTTGTTTGTTTTCAAATGCATATCTGGTTCTAGTGGACTCTGGTGCAGCAGGAGATGCTGTCTACCTTATCCAACAACTTCAACTGAACACAGAAAAACTACTTGAAAATAGTGGGGATAAGTGTTAGCTTCAGATTATTTTCCTGGGTGATGTGACCATGGGGCAAAAACCTGTCTTTCAAACCAAGGGATCTGGAAGCCTTGCATCTGGCTTAAGTCATGTAGTCAGCTCTCAGTAGTGCTAGGGCATGTTTCATATTGAAGTCCTCAAGCAATAAAGTAGAAGTAGCCCACTGCATTGCCACAGTCAATGTATCTGACACTCAGAAAGGCTTCAGGCCTGCAGGGAGGGAGAGACAGGAGGAAAGAAGGCTCGAGCCAAATCAGTGACAGCCCATGGAATGTTGTGGCTTGGATCATCTTACTTCCTTAGTCCTTCAGTAGCTAATGAGGCTCATTATACTTTGCTTTAATATGTTAAAGTCTTGTTCCAATTTCTGTACAGTGCCTTTTAAGAGTCTCGTAAGTATGCCAACATTTGGTGACTAGCTGGAAAGGAAAAGATGATTAATGTCTTGAAGAGCAATAAAAAAAAAAGCCCCAAAGCTTTCCATTGTGATTCTGGGTAGATTTTGCATTTCCCAATGCATTCACAGTGAGAAAACAAAGGCAAGTTGTTTAAACTTGCATCTAAATAGCATAGCTTGGAATGTATCTGCAATCCCAAGAGGTATTAACAAAGATTAAACATTGAATGTAGGTATAATCCATCAACAGGCAGTTTTTCTGTGTAGGACAGTTGAAGGCAATTTAATAGGAGTCTCTGTTTTTCGTGCAGTTTTCTTCCATGTGTAATACCTGGAATGGCACTGGACAGATGACCCAGTTTTAGTGTCAATTTATTTTTTTGGTCAAAATGACAGGCAATACACACTGGGCATATGAAAACAGTTCAGTAAAGTTTCAACACTACAGCCTATTGCTACATTGTAGTTTATTGCACATTCTGATTATTTTTTTAAACACTTTTTTAACACTGGTTTGTCTTAAACTTGAATCTTGCCTCAATGTCTGATACAATAATCTTTGATGCAAGGTTGGTTTTTTAATTAAAAGTTATTTCTATATATGTTGTATAAAGTCTGAATTTGATGGCTTTTTAGAAGTGAAGTAGGAGGAATACTTCCTCTTGGCATAGAGCTCTGCTTGGCCTGCAAACCCACTGCAGCTTTGCTGTGGTACTGATGCTGTGAGGCCAAGGGCCTCCTCAGTGCCTCAGTACAGAGGTGTGTGTTGCCCTCTCTCTTGCCCTGCATGTGCATCTACTTCCAGGAAAAAGTTTCTGAAAGGTCAGTGTCTCACATGTTTTGCAGGTCTTTTCTCCTCAGGAAGCCTGACCTGACCAGCTCTCAAGCAGCTTTGTTGTTAGGTACGGGCTTCCTGTGTTGTCTGATCCCTGGGGCAAAGGGAGGAATTCCTACACTTTAAAAGAGGGGACAGACCAAGTAAACCAGCCAGCCAGGCCAGCTGCCTTCCATGTCCTGAAAATGCTGCCAGGAAGTGGAAATACAATCCAATCTGTTACAGGAGGGTTTTTCTTTACTGGAGGGTGGAAACAGAAGGGTGTTAAAAAAGAGGCCAGACTCCTTGTGTCATAGGAGCTGGGTTGTCCCAGTTTGGTCAGCCTGGGGAACTGCAGAGCAGCCCTGCACTGCAGTTCAGGTCCCAGCCGTGGTGCCAAGCCATTGTGTGGCTGCAGGCTCAGCCCTGGTGTGGGCTAAAGCAGCTGCTGGGTAATTTGTCCACTGCAGGGACTGCAGAGGCAGGCAGTGTGCTCTGAGCAAGGGGAACCACATTTACTGTGTCCTCTCTTGTATGTTCTTGCCAGCCCTTGTGGGACCTTGCTATTGCTTCATGACAGCAATAAAAAGGGTAGTTAGAGAAAGGCTGAGCAGGCACAAGACAGAAGCAAAATGTCTCTTTGGTCATTACCCTAGTCCACTCACAACAGAAATCTTTCCTCCAACAGCTGCCTCAGCTGGTTAGGCCTGTGACAGCAAACTGTGGCTGCTGGAGCACAGTGCCAGTACAGGGCTCTTCCATGCAGGGGTGTGCACAGGGCTCTACCATCGTTGAGCAGGTTATGTGTGTGTGGAAGACACTGGAAGGGGGGCCAGGAACAGGCTGCATTGCCCCCATCCCCTGCCCACCTCCAGCATCCTTCCATCTGGCATGGCCAGGTGGGCAGTGCTGTCTCTATGGCAAGTGAGATGGTTCTCAAGAAGCTGCAGACCTGTGTCCTGCCTTCTCTGTCTCCACTCTGTGTCTTGGCTCCAGACTGGGAGGCACCTGATTTTTCATTTTTCCCTCTACTGCAAGCAGCTGCACTGCTGGTTTACTGCCTGCAGCCAATGTCCTGGCACAGCTGGGCTCCCACCTCCAGACATTTCAGTTTTGCATGAATGCTGGTGTAATGAGGCTGTACCTGTTGAGGGAGCAGGCTGAGGCCTCAGGGCCAGGCTCATCCTTGAAGCCATAAAATGTGCAGAATCCCCTACTTGTTTCCATTCCTTTTCAAAGTTTTAAACAGGAAATGAAAGGCCAGACAAAACCCAAGCTCTCTTTGGCTGTTAAGCTATGAAAACAGCTGTTAGTGCTGCTCCTACTGCTGTGGCTGAAGGGTATTACAAAGAGTGACTGTGAAAAACCAACTTAAAACATAATACAGCAAGGCCCCACCCACGCATGAAAGTGGGTGTTTGCAGCTGCACAAAGCCATTTCCCATGTGCTTTATTTACCATGTTCAATTGAGGCATTTTTTAACACCATTTATGCTCTGCTTCCTGCTGCTATGAGGGTTTAAAATGCTTCATCCCTGCATCCAGGACCTTAATGGCATGTAAGTACAAATAAGAATTTTTAAACCTATTAAAACTAAACTCTGTGTGTGTCTCCTGCAGTGTTTTATCTCAGGGCTCTGGGCTGTACCACCCTGTGCAGCACATGTGCAAGCCCAGCATGACTCGGCCCTATCCGTTGTTTTCATCCTGTTTTCCAGTTCAGACAGACCTATGCTGTCAGATCACTCTGGACCACTCTAAACCACGAGCCTCAATACAAAAGGCTGTGCTCTCCTTAATTGCTGTAACCTTATCAGAGGATTGCAACATCTAATGGGCCTGGGGTTTATTCAGCCCCGGGGAAACCATGCAAGCAGCTCTCTGCGTTTTCATGTGACGACTCAGATCCAGTCCTGGGACTCAAGGCTTGTTACTGAGTACAGGACAGGCCCCAAACAGATCACTTCTGTAATGGACACAGGTGAGAAACTGGAACAGTCTTAAGCATTAAAGAACAAGAATAATTCATTATTGTGATTCCATGGACATGGCCACTAACAGATTTAACCTTAGATGTGTACAAGCTGTTGCAACAGGAGTCACCTGCATTAACCCACCTGGGTGGGATTCAGACAGAAGCAATAAAGTAATTTTACTTGGTAGGTGTAATGTCTCTCCCACAAGATTCCTAACCCAAGAGTCAATGCAAGTGCAAACCTGCCATCCTTAAAACAATTACAAAATGGCTACAACCTATGAACAGAGAACATACCACAACGTTCCACAAAGCCTAGTACCATCAATTGACTAGCACAGCTAGGATATCACCCCCAAATTAATTAGGAATAAAGAAATAGTTTGATTACCCTTTCAATCCAGCTTATACTCAACTGTAGGTTAGTATATTACAGCTGTGTCCTACTGCTTTCAACAGCATGAAAAGCCAGACTCCACATCCTGAACTAGCATTTTCATTGCAGCTAGTGCCTGTCCAGCCTGCATTTTAGCTACCAGAGCCATGACTGTTTGTCCATGCATACATTAAACTACGCTGGTTCTTTCCAGAAGCATGGATAAGCTACTCTAACACACACCCAACAGCCCTTAGGACTATAGCCTTTCATGGCCAAGCTTGCTTTTGGCAAACCTCTTCTGAACTATCTCTCAGTACAATAGGTCCAGACAATTTCATTTTTCTTGTGCTAGTTACCAAATGGGGTTGCAAGTGGAAACAGGAAGCAGTGTTTGTTCACCTAAACCACAATTAACCGTGCAGAAGAAACATGGCAGCTCAGCTATTTGAGATACTTGTCTAAGTGTGTCTGAACTAGCCTTAGCTCCTCCTGCTTCCCAAGGGCAGTGGCCCTCGCTGTGGGGCACCTCACAGGGCTCAGAAGGGCTGCACCAGCTCTAGCACTGCCCCAGCAGCTGCTGGGTGACACCTGCCCAGTGTTGCTACAAAGAGAACAGACCTGCCTTTCATCCTGTGGAAATGGCCTAGCTGCAGCTGCTGAGCCTCCTGGCCTGGCCCCCCAAGGCAGCAGACTGCAACCCTTCTGTCACTGCAACTCAAAGGGAAAAATACCACACAGAATACCATGAAATATTTAAGAGCCAACAATGCTAATTAGAGCCACGGGAGACAGGTCTACCAAAAAATGGCCTGCTCAGCCTTCCTCTAGAGCACTGTTAACTCACCTTTCATGTGCCAAATCAGGCCAGGCCTGTGGACACAGGAAACTGAAGGACTGATAAGTATTTGGCTCCACAAGCTGTTTTACAGACCCATCTCCAGGCATTTAAATCTACATATCTCGTCAGCAGCTACCCTTTCTGTATGTTACCATCTTAATCCTTTACTCACACATATCTGCAAACCAAGGAAATTGTGGCACAAGATAAAGATTTTTACTTATCTGAAGAATATTAAAGCAACATTCTTCGTAGGAATTCCATCACTTCCAGGAATTTGAGACACAGCTGTCTTATCTAGCTATTTGAAAGGTAAGTGAGAAGATATTCCCCACTTTGTGATCTGGTAAAGATGCTTCACTGACTTACCTGATGTTGAATTTTTATAGGCCAAGTACTTCCAATGCAGCAGAGGCAAAGAACAGGAACATTTCTACCACCACTGGCAATTTTTTTAGCCCTCTTAAGCTGTATTTTCCATAACCTTATTTCTAAACCCACTCATTTATGACAGTCAGCTTAAAGAACTTAACACACCAAGGAAGGGGTGTTTAATGCAGTAGTGGAAAAGTTTTGTAGGAATGCACAGATCAAATGACAAAATACAGACAGCAGAAGGCAGTTTGATTAAGAGTCTTCCACAAGAGAGATTCTTGTGGTGATGCTACACTCTTCTAGCAAGCAACAAACTGACTGTAGTTCAATCCAGTCAGCATTAGAGGTCGTGCCACAAAATTAGCCTCCACAAAATCAAGAGACAGGTTCAAACCATTGCATTTCCAACCCTGAAAGACAGCTAGAGTGTTTCTCACTGCTGGCTCGCTTCACTGCAGTGAAGGAATGATTCCTCTGTTCAGCAGCAAGAAGTTTCTGTAGTTGGTGTTCGTTCAGCCCTCACTTATGCACGAGAAAAGGGTTCTCCTGCATGCCCAGAGCCTTGTGGAACACAGCTTGGGCAGGTCTCATCGATCCAGACTGCGCTTCTGGGCTGCTTCTGAACACACATTCCTGAGCAGGTTGATCACAGACCTGGGGTCTGCGCTCTTCATGATGGCGCTGCCAGACACAATCATGTTGGCACCTGCCTGGAAAACATCAAACACTGCTCAGTCACATGCAACAGAGCCACTGCCTACAGCTGGCTTGTAAAGCACTGGAGGTTGTGAATTCTGTGTGTGCAAACAAGTGGGACACAGATGACATACCTCAAAATACAACCCCAAATCAAATCAAGTTCCCCAAATATGTAATTTCTTCATTACATTGCTCCTATTTACACTAACATAAAAGAAACAAACTTCTTTAACTTAGGGGAGGCTTCAATAGCCACTATTTTAAAAAAGGCACAAGATTAGACCTCAAAGAGATTTTGATATCAGATGTGTTTTACAGTTCTCTCTGAAAACTAAAAATTTCTCCTAAGCTTTATTTTCTGGGAGTTGGTTAAGTCTCTTAGCACAGTGACTGAGAACACTGCTCTGCTACAACCTCTTACCTCTGCACACTTATGGATGGTGTCAGGCCCAACTCCTCCATCCACTTCTATATCCAAGGAGGGAAACTGTGTCCTCAGCCACTGAACCTGAAGAATCAGATAAAAAGGTGGGCACTGAGCTTCCATCCTGCAGCTTCTTATGCAACTAAACAAGGTTTATTTACGTTACCACTTTACTCCCTACTGTTAATTAGCTTTCAGTTCAATAAGCAAGGAAAGATAAATATAGTTTACCTTTGGCATCATGTCTTCCATAAATTTCTGTCCTCCGAACCCAGGTTCTACTGTCATCACCAAAGCCATGTCTATCTGATTGGCCCAAGGTGCCAAGTGTTCAACTGTAGTGCCAGGCTTGATGGCCAAGCCAACCTGCATGAAAGGAAGCCAAATCCAAGTGCACTTTAGGATTAGTGCACCTCAGGGCAAGACTGGCCTGAGCTCAATACAGATTCCTAGGAACGTAATTACGCAACTGTGTAATTGCAGGAAGAACAGGCTTCTTCATTAAAAAACCTCCAAGTTTCCGTCACCAAAATTTAAGGCTGACTTCATTCACAGTGTGTTAGGGCTGCATGTGCCAATCCTAGACCACCTGAAGTGGCAAGAATGAGTTTTTCATAAAATCATGGAATCAAAGTATCTTGAGTTGGAAGGGCCTTACAAGGCTCATCAAGGCCAGCTCCTGGCCCTGCACAGACGCCCCACCAATCCCACCCTGTGCCTGAGAGTGATATCAAAACGCTCCTGGAGCTCTGGCACCTTTGGGGCTGTGCCCATTCCCTGGGGAACCTCTGGGGGAAGAACCTTTTCCTGCTATCCAGCCCAAACCTCCCCTGACACAGCTGCAGGTCGTTCCCTCGGGTGCTATCACTGATCACCACAGAGCACCTGCCTGCAAGGCAGCGTTCAGTTAGTTAAGCGGAGCGCAGCGTGTACTCTCCTCACCTTCATCCCATTCTCCCGAATGTCCTTTATCAGTGCCCCGGGATTGTCTGTCGCTTCTAGATGGAAGGTGTACTGGTTTGCACCGGCGACTGCCATGGGCTTCACCCACTGCTCTGGCGCGGCCACCATCATGTGCATGTCTGGAAGAGGAGAGCGAGCGGGCAAGTGGGGCCGAGTGGCGCCGCCGGACGGGAGCGGCCCGCAGCCCCCGGCCCTTACCGAAGAAGGGCTCCTGGCCCAGCCGCTTGCGCAGGCTCTCCACGACGGGGTGGCCGAAGGTGATGTTCGGGACGAAGTGTCTTGGGGCCGAAGAGAGAGACGCGCCCGCCCACAGGTTACCCCGTGCGGGCCGGGAGGAGCGGGCCGCTCCGCCCGCCCCCCGCGCCCCCGGCCCGGCCCGGCCCGGCCGCTCCCGCCCGTCCCCGGCGTTACCCGTCCATTACATCCAGGTGCAGGTAGTCGGCCCCGCAGTCCAGCATGCGACTGCACTCGGCGCCCAGCGCCGCCAGGTCGCTGTTGAGGATGGAGGGACCGATCCGACACCCCGACGCCATCGCTGCGGCCGCGGCTGCTGCCGGGACGGAGGGAGGGCCGGGCGGGCCGTGGGAGGGCCGGGGCGGTGCCCCCGCCATCTTGGGGCCGCTGCTCCGCCCCCCGCCCGCCCCCTCGGCACCAAACTGGCGGAAATAATAATAATAATTGCAGTAATAACCATCGTGTCGCTGGTTTCAAGTTCCCAACGAAGTGTATTTAGTCCCTCCCAAAGCACAGGTGCAGCCCCACGCCGGGCAGAGGCAGCGGCACAGCCTTTGCCGCAGCAGCCCCGCGCCAGGCCCCGAGCAGAGAGGTAAACATTAACCAGCGCTGTCGGCATCCCGGGACAAAACCGCGTATTGAAACCCTTCGGAGCGCCACAGACCGGCCGTGTTACGCAACAGGCTCAAACACAGAACTCTGTCCTTTGCCGTCGTTCCTTTGTATTTAATCCTCGGGACAACGTTTGCATAAAATGCTGAGGCAACGGGACCGACTGACACGTGGACAAGACAGGCACAGCCGGACATCGCTGAACACGACATGCGCTTAAGGCTCTAACACTATGTAAAGCAGCATCGTATGTCTTCACAGCAGAAACAACGCCAGTTCTGGTACGGAGATACTGGAGGAAAGCACAAACCAGCTAAAGTACTTTGTATGCCACTCATCAGGATGGCATTAAATGCGACTGATACGACAGTAAAACGCATGGGAAGTCAGGCTGACGGGCTGGCCTGTCTGTGCCGTCTCCCAACAATCATTCCACAAAACCCAAGCCAGCTGCCCAGCCACCCGGATAAAACTACATTACAGGTTACGTCATTTATAAGTTGCATTGATGTCTAGTGGGGTAGACATTAAAAAGAGGCATTTTAGTCCTTGCTATGGCTTACTACTGTGGATTCACCTGTGACAGTGGAAACTTGAAAGTTACATACACTGAATTAAATGAAATAAATCACAGTTATTTTGTCATCTCTAGAGTAGAGTACTGTGGGAAGGCCTCTACGTTCCATTAAGGAAGATTCTTCCTCATTTTCTGCAGAAAAGGTCACTCTATAAAGTGCACCATGAATTCTGTAGGTGTTGTGTCCCAGCTGTTTACTCGGCTCATGTCTGAAGCTTTCCAGTGACCAAGCCTACCTTGGGACTTGAAAGTGAAGCTGTGGGTTTTTTTCTCGTTTGTGCGTCAGTGTTAATAATAAAACAACATCTGGAATTCAGCAATTCTTGGAGTGACCTCTGAGCTAGGAGCTAATCTAAAGCAGCATCCTACAGGTAGCTGGCACTGGCTCCAGTGCACTAAGAAGAAAAAAGCAGTACAGCATGTTTTGATCAGCAGAGGAAACAGTTTGTTATCCAGGACATCCTGCAGGGACGTAAGAGAGGGACACTGTCACCTCTCTTACAAGACCAGGTACCCTTTGGAGCTGCGTTAGAGCACCACCTGTACATTATATAGCCCCATATACGTGGGGGATATAGGTGGTGCACTACAAAAATAATTGCTTTTTCAGCCCTGCTGTTCCCAACATATGCTGAGATTCTCCTCTCACCAACAGAGTGGTAGCAGAGCATGCTCAGCACCTGGGAGAAAAATGGCTTTTGCTCTCTTCAGAGGTTTAACATGAGCGAGTTCCCTGCCCACACTGGTGTGCACAACTCCTGTCAAATGTGAGCATTTGGCACATGCCAGGCAGCACAGCCTAAGGCTCCACAGGCTGAAACCTGCTCTCAGGGGTGCAGTTAATTGTCTTAGCCCCAGGAAAACCTGTGTGCTGCACTAGAGCAGCAAGACAGCCGCCCATAGGGTCTGGCTATTTCAGAGCCAGTGAGGAGAGCTGCAAGTCCTTTCTCTGGAGATGGCTAGAAGGAGATCATTTCCCTCCTTAGTAAGGCTGGTTCATCATGTGTATGTCCAAATTGCAAGCCCTCAGGAGCCAAAGTGGTGGTTAGCACATTTTAGATACTCTCAGGGTGATCCAAAACATTTTCATCTGCACAATAATGACATGATTATAAACTCCAGTTAGTCTAACATGAGCCAAAAAAGGCAGTGTATGATCCCCAAGGGTATCTTTGGGCATTGCTGATGATTTCATGGTTTGTTTCACAGCTATTTTGCAGTTTGCCTGTCAGCAGCTAATGGCTAAATTCACATTTCAGTGTAATTCCATGATGCTGCAGCAAAACCTCTTAACTCAGCTTTGACTTCAGCTGATCCCCCCAGGGATCTCCACCTTCTATAAATGTTACATACATTTATCTGATATTTGCAGCCATGAACATTACATACATAAAATGGAACTTTTAAAATACAATCTCAGCATGCCAAAAATAGATTCTTTCATCAAGTTTCTGCCCTGCAATATCCATCTTTTGTTTACAATGTACATGTATATTTATATATATAGTAACAGGAAAATACCATATATAAATATTTACTTTAAATCCCTCTACATACATCCAACAGCATCAGGGGAGCAGCTGCTTGGGACCAGAAAGGTCCACACATTCCAGATGCAGTTTCTTGGAGGTTCTTTTTTAAATCTGTGGAGAGGAAGAGCTCACTACATTAAAGCAGGACAGTGTGGGCTGTTTATACCACCTGCAGACCGCTCAGCCCCTGCCCATCTGTGTCTGTGCACAGCACATGCATTCCTTATGGTATATACTGTATTTAGTTTTATGGAGCAAATATTTTTGTAGCACAAGGGCAATATTTTACAAAGTGGAATGGAACTAGCAGACAAAAGTAAACTCAACTAAAGTCTGCAGTGCCAAAAAAAACCCCTCTAATTGCTTTATGGTGCTTATCGTTGCTCTGAACGTTAGAAACAATGGTCCCAGGCCTGAAAAAAATCAAGCTTTAGGTTGGTACTTTCTGTCAGTATTTTCACTGTTTTCAAGGTGTAAGAGCCTTAGATTCAGCTGCTGTATAGCCCTCCTCTCAAAAACACTACAAAAATAAATCTTGGGCACAGTCTCAGAAGAGACTTCTCTGTCTCACACAGTCCAACAGCCCATTACTCAGTAAGGCTGCTGATCACAGTACATGGCTCTATGGACCACGTTTGCCTACACACCCCTATCCTGAGAGTTCTGTACAAATTCTTGGTTCCTGTGGTCCTGCCCTGAACTGAAAAGAGATCTCACAAATAGAAATGTGCCAGTCTATAGCAACTGGCTGCTAGCTATTTCCTGCTTTTGGATAATAAAGTGCTCTTGTTTTAATTAGTTACTATTTAGCAGGGAACTCTAAGGAAAGGTCCACATTTCCTTCCTCCTCCCACTACTGTACTTCCCTAAGAGTTAAACATGAGATTCATCTAGATCAACATCCGTCTCACCAAGCTCCACATGCGTGAAGCTGAAGTGAGTAGCCAGCAAAGGATTCTCCATGCCATTGTCCTCGCTGATGTGCAGGACAGTGTCCCCATGCTGCAGCAGGCTGGTGGTCTCCAGGCCAGCGTAGTCCTCGGTGTCAGACAGCTGGGTGGGTGGGGTGCTCTGTGCTGTTGCTGGCCGGGACTCCAAGCCCTCCTCTTTTTCCTTCTCCTCCTCAGCAGAGAGTGCCTCGCTCTGCAGTTGAGGAGAGCTGGTGGTCAGGCTCAGAGAAAGCAGGAGGGAGAGGGGGGGAAAAAGGAAAGAAAGGTCTATAAAGTATTTTTTCATTCAGGTATACGTTTTACCATGAAGAAGCAGGCACTTGCAGATTATATTCCTTAAAATTATACCTAACAATATCTTTGTGCTGTGATCAGTGACCAGAAAGGTTATCTGATTTGAGGCATTAACACATCCTCATTTCACCTTTTTTAGCATACGGCTTCAAACAGAGTAGGTTTACATTAGATACTAGGAAAAATTTCTTTATACTGAGGATAGTGAGGCACTGCAAAAGGTTTCCCAGAGAAACCTGTGACTGCCCCATCCCTGGAAGTGTCCAAGGCCAAGCTGGACGGGGCTTGGAGCAACCTGGGATAGTGGAAGGTGTCCCTGCCCATGACAGGGGCTGGAATGAGTCCAAAACATTCTGTAATTCATTCTATGATTCATAAGACAGAAATCATTCATTTGTTCATGGCAAAGGACATAACCTCAAAATACACTGGGCATATAAAAGTGATCTCAATGTCACTTATGTGTTGAAGGGATGACTGAGATTGTCCCTGCACCATCCTCAGTGGTGTCCAACACAGAAAAATGTTGGACAAGCAATTTCTTTTACAATGTGATGCTTAAAGAGTCCTGAGGCTTTGATGGATTCCTTCCTTTAGGAGGCATCTCTCGAGGAGCAAGCTGTAAAAACCTGTTGAGGACAGCTTGCCTTGGTGATTAGGTCCAGAAGGACACTGTATGTGATGGGAAGACAGAAAGGGAAGATGCAGAAAATATCTTTACAAATTAAGAATTGTTGCATAGATCTGGAAGGGAATGGCTTTCCAGAAGCAGGGGGTTTGACAGCAAACAGCCTAAAGAACAGACACACATGAGAGTTTGCTGTCATTACTCCCCTGCCAGCTTCCATCACAGTGCTGCAACGCATCCAGCGCTTCCCCGTGCCTGGGACAGAGCAGGGGAGGGACACAGGGTACAAACCAGTCACGTTACCTGGCTGTGAAGATCAGCTACAACGATGGCAGGTGAGGAGGTCAGCACGGGTTTGCTGAGGGGCTCCTGCTGGCTGCTGGCCTGGGGGCTGCAGCCCAGCTGCTGTGCCGGCGAGTCCACGGCACAGCTTGGGGCTGCCTCGGGCTGGGCTTCAGTGAACGTCACCGACCGCTTCTGCTCTGCTGAAGGGTACAAAGCCCAGAAAAGTGAGGGTTAGAAGTGGGGAAGAAACACACAAGAAAAGAAGAGAGAGAATCCCTGGAGGTTTTAGAACTAAGACAGGATTTGTGGTTCATTCCATCTTTATATAAGCTGTCTAATCGGCATCTAATCTAAAAGTCTTTTACCCCAGGTTTCCACCACAGCCATAGCAAGGCTCTGGGATCTCCTGTTCTTGTCATGGCTTGATGAGAAAAATATCACCCATAACATCTTTCCATTCTAGAAGAGTACGCTGAGTTGAATTCCCACGTGAGTTAGGCATTTCTGCCCTCAAATACAAAAGCAACACTGGCATGTAAAAAGGTAGCAGAATTGCCTAAGGTTTTGTGGAAAATCTAAGGAAAGAAAGTGCAGCAGATAGCCTCTCATTCCTGCTAACTATGGCCATTAGCCAGGAATAACAGAAGAGCAAGGAGTAAAGACAGCTAGACTAAAAACTTAACAGTAGAACTGATATTCCCATTCCTGCTCTTATTTATTTCTGGTAAACTTTTATGTTTCGAACATCTCCAGCAGTGGTGTTGTCCCAGCACACTCCTGCTGAGCACCTAGAAACCCAGAAAGTTCACAAGTAACCTCTGCTCTTGCAGATGTTTCCTCCAAAGCTCACTGCTCACTGCAGATGGTACAGAATACAGCCAGCTGCTCAGCTTGGCAGTGCTGGAAACATATACAGTCCTTAAAGCTCTGTACTGTTAAGCTTATGATGAGACATTTCCTTCTTTCTACTGCTCTCAATAGCATCTTCCAAACTTGCACATCTGGAGGTTTTGGATAAGGCATCCTGACTAGAGGAAACCCATGCTCTAAATTCTCCACAACTCTTGGAAACAAGATAATTCATTGTCCATGTCCTGTTTGACCTTGAAAACCTCTGGAGAAACCATCAAACCGTTTTGAGAGGGTGGATTTCTGTAAGACTATCCACGTACTAGGAAAAAATACAAAACTGCTGGGACTTCATTTTAATATAAGCTACTAGCAAGCTACAATTCCTTTAAGGTAAAACCACAGGACTTTCTGCTTTGGGGTGCTGGTTCTGGAGACGCAGCGGTGCCGTACCGCAGGGTTTGGGCTTTGGCTGGATGCTCCGGCGCGTGGTTGAGAGTCGAGCTCCGTGACGGCTCCGCGGCTCCGTCTGAGTTTTCTGACGTGACAGCAGCGGCCGCCGGAGCTAAACATTGCAAGAGAGAGTTAGGCTGATGTGTGTTCACATATTCCTCTCTGAAAGGAGAACAGATCATCACTGTCTGCACCTCTGGGTGTCCACTCACTCTCCTTTTAGCAGATACGTGTTTTAAGGTTTCCACAGCTCACACATTTCCTTCCTGTGAACGTCTGGGCTTTGTGCCTTTTCAGTTTCAACACTGAATGCAACGCAGTGCAGGCTGTGTAGCCATCATTTAATAATAGTAACAACAAAAAAGCCTGCAGAGGAATTCAAAACAAAAGGGCACCTCCTCTCTTAGGGATTTGCCTGGCTTCACACCTACAATTTGTGCTATGGTTCCTTCTAAGTCAAGGGACTGCTCTAGGATAGCAAAAATTAGGCAGAAGGGACACATCACACCCACACATGGTGTCCAAAGAACCACATCCAAGAAAAGCCACACCAAATCACAGAGCAGGAGAGCAGGTTTGTGTGCTGCCTGTGTCCTCACCTGCCGTAGGCCTCTCTGCCGCCCCAGGGGCTGCTGCAGAAGGAGGTTCTGCTGTCCTGGCTCGCTCTGCACGCTCGCCACCCTGTTAGATGTTGACAGCATTAGGCCAAGCACAGCACACTGCATAACCAGTACGTGTCCTGGCAACTGGGACTAAAATAAATAAACAAGAGATCGACCAACCACTAATGGCACAGTCACTTCAAAGAGCAGCACTATCTTTGAAGGATGGGAGGGGACATGTCTATTGGGTTGTGGCTTCCAGGGCTTAGGAAAGGGTGGGAGGTGGAGTCATGGCATTCACGACTTGGCCACGCACAGGTAGCATCCAAATATAAATAACTGCAGATTTCAGTTTTCAGTCATTGATTGATGCATCCCACTGAGCAGCACTCACTTCTCTGCATCCTTTGCCACATCAGTGAAGGCAGGAACATCAGCTTCCTAGCTCAAAAGCCTTCTTGTTTACTTTTCCTTTTTTCATGGACAATGTTGTAAAAGCTATTTTTTTCCTTCCCAAATAAGACTCCACGGCCTCACTGCAATTTTTTCATCTGGTTTTAATTTCAGTTTAAGTCAACAAACAAAAAACAAAACGCAAAGTGACAAAGGATCCATTCACATAATGGATGCATGAGTTATGTGAACAAGGCCCCACACTCAACACTTGCAGCCTCAAGTCTTTTTGTGACTAACAAACAAAAGAGACAAGTAAACAAACACTAGAGAGAGAGAGAGAGAGAGAGAGTGATAAACACAGCTTTTGGGGTTTTAATATATTGGCACAAAATATCTGCAAACCTGCAGTAGAAGAAACTTCAGCAATAAAATATACTCAGCTATGTACCATTCAACCAACTTAATATAAGAATACCACCCTCCCCTCATTTTTATCAAAGCACTGTATTCCTCCAAACACTGGACATTTAGCAGTCACAAAATACTTCAGCTGATAGACTTATGACTACAATAGTCACTAACAGTTAAGATAGACTGTTTTTAACTCAGGCAGCTGCTTTTTTTAAGCCAGACTGGAATCCATTGAGTGACATGTCCTATTTAAGCAACTTCCAACTATAGCTGGTATACACACTGTTGAAGATTCAGTATTGCAATCCATTTTGTGTTTGGCTTGCATTAATCTAAAGGAAAGCATCATTATTTTCTCTAGATACTTCCCTTGGATCTCCCTGGAGTTTGTCAGTACCACCAAGAGAATGAAGGCTGATCAGCTTAATCACCTGAGCATGCAGGGGTGGAGGAAAAAGACTAATCTAGAGACATGATCAGACAAGACATGGAGAATGGCTGTGAAGAGCTTAAAAAGCTTTGTCTTCTGAGCAGCTCATTCTTCACTTTGGCAGAAGTTACCCATTGTCCTCAAAAGATTTGGTGGAACAGAACATGGAGGGTTTCCTGCTCTGCTTTGGGACTCTTGGGGTTTAGAGTTTTCCTTTGGATTCTTTCTCTAATGGAATTTTGTCCCATCTGTCACTAAGAAACCATAGCAGCTGATACTTAGGAGAGACTAGAGAAGTTTCCATGGGAAGGGTGAAGCTGGCCACTCTCTTAACTAGTGGGTTTCTCTTGGAGGGACAGAGATACCCAAGAATTGGGCTGGGGAAAAAGGGGCTGGAGCAGCTCCTAGCCCCCTTGCTCTCTTGGCTTTGAAGGAGGATGGTCGAGCTGCTTCCCTTGTGAGGGAATTCAGTGCTGCCACCCGAGCCCAGCCCTGCCCTGTTTTGTCCTACCCCAGCTGAGCGTTTGCTCATGAGAGCAGTCATTCAACTGGGACCTCACTGAAAATGAGGGACTGGGTTTGTGCTTCTGTTTGGTGCTGTTTGCCTTGTTACACAGATATGTATTAGTAAAGAACTTTCCTTTTCCCATCTTTTTCCCTTAATTTCAAAGTTATAATAATTCAGAGGGAAGTGGGTCATATTCTTCATTCCAAGGGAGGTTCCCACCTCCCTTGGCAGACATCTGTCTTTCAAACCAAGACAGGGGCAAAGTCTGGCTACCTGGTCTGAAAGCCTTATTCCTTCCTCCCTTTCATTTAAACTAAAGCCAGACTTTGCACTGAACCATATCCACGTGTTTCTATCACTTCTACAGGGGAGACAGTGGGCAGCTTCAAGGAGAGAGACATTTTGGGACCCTGAAGCTGTTTATCTTTTGATTGACAGACTACAGCCTAATAATCCTGGGCATGCCCTCAGCAATCTCACCACAGCTGCACTGCCTTGGAAAAAGAGGAGAAGCTTCAGCAAGCTCAAAGCCAAAAAAACCCCAAGATATATTTGAGTCCTTCCATAGACGTCTTCTGAATTAAATCACCAGTCCCTGGAATATATATCCCAGTTTTTCCATAGGATATTGACCAAGCATCCTAAACACCACACAAACACCTGCCTAGGGATAGATAAGCAGAGCCTTTAGAGTTACCTCCTCTTAGTAGGAATATGTTCTTCACTCAGTGACTGCACATATAACTGGTAAGTCCAAAAGCATCACATCATTCCTTATGAAAGCAAAGACACTGCACTTAAATTAGTCTTTATATTTGTGATCTAGACTACCTGAAATTGCTTGGTGAATTTCCTTAATCGTCTGTTTCTAGGATTACATAAAAACTTATTCTTCTGAATTTATAGAAGTTTTTACAGTGATTCCCATTATGCGAGTGAAGTAGGAATTAGCTGGAGAAGTTCTTGAAAAAAAAAAGTCTACTGGACTAGCTTTGAGAATACTGTTACAATTTCTGATGAAGGAAAGGTAACTTAGTTCTGTGAGTAAGGAGACGTCTGTAGCAGAAAGACTGCAATTATATTCAGTACAAAATTGTTTACAGTGCTGAAACAAACTCACTTCACATATGATATGAAAACACTTGAAAAAATCGTTAGATAACAGGTGTACATGGACAGTGGAAGGGCACAGAGGCTATACACGAGATGAAAACTATTCCCATGCACTAAAGACAAACAATAGGCAAGCAAAAAAAAGTTGGACTTCGTGTCTTCCTGCTGGAGAATGGGGTTTTCAGCCTGGCTTATAACCTAAGTGAGATAAGTGAGCTGCTGGATGTTTACTTCCAGTACTGAATCCCTATGCAAATTGGTATAATCTGGGGAGATCTTACCAGCTGAAATTGCAGATACCTATTGCAGGGAAATGGTGGACATGAGCTGCGTTCTGCAGAGCTGCCTGTGCACAACACAGTCCTGCTGTGGCTGTCTTTTTGCTCTCTATCCCCACATTTTGAAGAAGGAATAAAGACCACAAATTTGAGATGAGTGACTGAATTTTCAGGTATAAGCTTTCTCTTCATGAGGCTTTGTGAGGGTTTCTTTTCACATCAAAGAACAGAACTACTGATCTTGTTTCTGTGAAAATGAGCATGGCAGGCAGAGGGCTGGCTCTGTGCAGCCTGCCCTCCCTCCTTCTCTGTCTCTCCTTGTTTACCAGACCTGACCAGGAATATACTGTTTTTTCTGGCAGCCCGTGGGACCCAGCCAAGGAACACCAAATCAAGTGCCTTTTCAGCTGACAGTATATTTCCCCTCCCCATGGCAATGTGATCAATAAGAATAATTTTTCTAAAGGACATCAGCCAGATTTATTTGGGAATAAGAAACAAGATTTTTTTCCTGCCCAACACAAAGATGCTCTGTCACTCTCTAAATATCTCTGTCAAGAGATTTATTTGCACAGTAATGTTACTCCCATTATATAGGGCAGAGGTCAAAGATCAAACCAACTGAACTTCATGGATGCATGTTGCCAGCACTACAAGGAATGACAGACAATGCAATCACACAGTGGGGGCCAAAACAAACTTTGTCAGGTTGGCAAGTAAAAGAAGTGATGCTCAGGAATTAAAGAAAACCAAACCATGCAGCCAAAAAAATAATTAAAAAAAAAAAGAATAAGAAGAAGAAAACAAAACAAAGGAAGCAACGAGTTTCAATGTGTATTAAAGAGATGCACGTGCTTGCCACACCATCATGGTAGAGTGTACACACTTTGTGTCCCTAGACATATGAAGAGAAAGTTGGTGGATAAAGGCAGTGGAGAATGGGTTAAACATATTGCATTTCCAGACACATCCCAACCCAGTTAGCATTAAATCTGCTGCTGCAATTGCCCTGGCAATGTGGATTCAATCTGATTTTTCCTGTTAGGAGCCATTAAGCTAGGATAGGCACAAACACTGCAGGGAAATGTGTTTGTGCAACAGATTTCCATTACAGTGGCTTCACCTTCTTCCTTTCTGATTTGGGAAAATATCCTGCCCTCTCAGATATACATACATACATATATATATATATATATTAATTACAACAGATCATGATGCTCCTCAGCCCTGTACCCCAAGCTGTCTGAACACTTCAGTGCTGTCCCCTTCCTGCCTTCCCTGCTTTTCTCCAAGGCTGTGTCTAATTGCTATAGAAGAAAGGGAAACAGACTTTCTTGTTTTTGTCACAATTTGTTTAATTTATTTAAGACTCCTACCTTCCATAAGGGTCTAGTCCCTGGTAAATATTGTTTGTTTCTTTATCTCAGGTATGGATAAACACCAGCTTGTGAATTTAGAAGGTGATCCTAAAAAGTTATCATTGTGCACCAGTCAAAATCAGAGTTATATATGAGAAACTCAAGCCTGCTTTATTCAGAACTAATGTTCTTGAATGGAAAAACCACTCTGCCCTATAATCCCCACAGCACAATAAGCTTCTGAAACATCTGTTTTGTTGCTGCTGTCAGAGGAGAAATCCAATTTTCACATTGAACAATGCAGTTGAAACATCTTTTCCTCCTCACAGCGAACTAATTTAATCTTTTTAGACATGTTTGCAGCGTCTTCATTCCTGCTTAAGGGTTTGCATCCCTGGTGCTCATCCTTAAGAAATTAGTGCCTGCTCCTTGAAAAGGAGAATAAACCTCAGCAGAACTGACTCCCAAGTGCATCTGCTCACCCATTTGCTTTAGGAGATCTCTGTACCATAGAGCAGGGTGGAGGATAGTGTCCTGCTCCCCTGAGAAAACTTTTGTGCAGCTGATTACATTTCAGGGTTGAAAATAAATTACTGTGTGTGAACGTATTTATTGACTTAGGTGTCTCATAATGCTCAGCCTCACCATTGTTATTAGGAGTGGCTACCCCCTACTTTACAAGATCAGAACGTTTCAAAACCAGCACTGATGTAACCAAGTATCAGGTCATTATGGCCTTAGCTCAGATACAGACCTTCCCCTTTATCCTCTTCCTCAGCTGTAGTGAGTTTTTAGTGCTGCTAAAGGGACAACACAAAGTTCTTTGATTGAATGATTTCTCTTCACTTCTTTAGCTCAGATGACCATGCAGTCCACCTCACTTTGTCCAAAAAAAACAGGTAACAGTGCTCCTGCCTCTGCCAAGAAGCTGATGTCTTTTCCTAAGCCATCACAGACCAGTCTGCCAGAGCAGGGTTCACATACACAAATGACACCACGTTTCATGGAATGAGCTCGGTGACAGCACTGATGATAAACTCTCCTATTGTCAGCTGAGGAGAGTTTGAACAAACACACACAGCAGCCTGTCCCCATCCCAAAAAGCCACTACCAACATCAAAACCCAAGCTAATGGAACAGAAACCATTCACACAAATGCCTCTCAACATATCCACAGCTTCCATATCCACAGGAATGAAATAGCAAGTTACCCTCCATACGGGGCTGTGCTCTCCTGGGAGGAAACACAGATGCTCCTGGGACTAACAACAGCTCTCCAGCCTCAAGAGGATGGGTTGAGAGGTGGGAGCACAGCAGCAGGGCAGGGAGAATGATTAACATGAGGGATCTGGGTGTTAAAGGTGCAGCCTTCCCTTCTAAATTCACTCCTGATCCATTTGTGTTTGTGAGTAACGAGGAACAGCTCGACCTGAACTCCAGCACTAACAGAGCCACTTCAGATACCTATTTGTGGGGTCCACCTGCAAGATTTCTAAGGTGTCATTTGAGAATTGAAAATGCTTTGCAAAATTAATGAGAACTATTGTAAAGCACCCACAAAACTCTATATTCCAGAAGACTTAACCATAATTAGTTTTACCAGTGAATGGTAAAAAAACTCAGATTGATATTAAGTCTTTTGTGCTGACAGCATTGTGAGATGAATGAAAAAACAGATGTCTCCATTTTACATAAGCCTTCAGACTAATGCTTATAACAGGATACAGCTAATGCCTCACAGATCATCTTTCTCATGCCTTTCAAGCAATTGTTAAACAAGGGGAAAACCCCCAGGCCAGCCTGCTGCTTCATTCACTACACCTTTTTCCTTCCCCTTCTCAAAGTTATTGGCAATCAAAGCTGAAAACTGAAGGTGGGTTGCTACACCTTTGACTTGCAGGCCTGAATATTGATGAGCCACAAGAGACAGAGATGGAGAGAGTGACAAAAGGTTGGAAACGGGCTCGTTTCCCAGCACACACACCGACACACAGGTAGTGTTAACACTGTACCTAGAGAGGCTGCCCTCAGTGGCCAGGCTCGGGGAGTCATCGAGGACATTAGGTTCACTGCAGGAGGGGCAGGGAGATTAAGAATTTAGGGAAAGAAAATGCAAAAAGGAAAAAAAAAAAAAAAGAAAAAAAAAAGCATGCGCTCGTTGTCTCTGTTTTCAAGGGAGAAAAATATCAACGGAATAAAAAAGTAAAAAAAGGACGGTAACATTCATTGGTCTCACACGCTCAACAGCACATATATGACTCAGAGGAGCTGAAAGAACATCTGATAACAGGAGCAGTCTCTAGAGAGAGTTTACACTGCATGAAGCCTTCTGCATCTCTGCTGAGATTTAGGGAGCTGAGAAGTTCAACAGGATGTGTTCCTAAAGGAAATAGGGCAGGGAATTGCTTTCAAAGCTATTTTCCTGCAGAGTTTTGATTTATTTCAGTTCTATTTACTTTCAGCTTCATAGAAAGGTTTTTTTCTTTCCCCATGAGCCACTTCTTCCTTGAGGGAGGGCTGATCTATCTCCCATGAGCTATAGACCACTCTCCTTCTGGTGCAACTCTAGGGACAAACATCTGGAAAACAAGGTCTCATAGTGCAATGAAACTGTAAATAAACAGCTGGCAAGGCTTTTGGCCAAGGGACACAATTCCAATGCTTTTCTGCAATGCAGCCATCAGGCAGGAGCAGCCTGCTCAGGCCATAGGAAAAACATGAAAGAAAGACAGAAAGAAAGAAAGAAAGTAGTCTGCTGGGTTACCAGCAGGAAAGCAGTAATAATATTACTTAGCATTAATTAGCTTACATTTGTGAGGCAGTCTGAAAGCCCAGAGACCATCCATAACTCAAAGGGCATGATGTTGAGGACTATGATTATGCTTGCTGAGCTGGTCCTTCCCCTACCCAGATGAAAAGTGATTCTCCTGCTATACCATACACTTAAAAAGTAGAGAGTGAAGCTCTGTGTTAATTAAAGTCTTTTTTTTTTTTTTCTCAGCATCATCATGATTTGTGATAGCACAAAGCAAACATTGCTCTCAGTCAGCTCTGGCTCTTATGAAGTTTATGCACTGAAGATGGTAGTGAAGGATTGAGGAAAATGCAGTCTTGCATATTAATTTTTCAAGAAACAAAGGGACTGAATCAACTGAGTTTAAGAGTCAAATGAATTCCTGTAAGTCCTTTTGTGAAAACTCCTGGATAAAATCTGTGTAACTTCTCTCTTGTAAATCACTTCTCCTATCTCTGCTGGTAGGTACCACAGCTGTTAATTTTCCTTCAGCTATCAAGATTATTTCTTTAATTCCAAGCAAAAATGGGGAGGGAATAATGTTGTTTGATTTTCCAGGGGTGGTCAAGACATAATGTAGAATATATTCTTTAAAGGTTCAAAGGAAATAACATAAATTAATATGTCCATTGTCAGATATCCTTGGATAACTATGTCACAGACAAATAAAACAACAAACATTGCTTATTTAGAAAAAAAAATCACATTTAAATGCAAAACTTCTCTCCACATCTTCTAAAGATGTACATTTCCCAACAGGCTCTTTCTCACCATTCCAAGTCAACCAGGAATAAGGCATTCAAAGTTATTTGTATCAACAAGTATTTCAGGTTTAAAATAGTATTAAATCCCATCTTTGAACATAGAGTTTAGTTTCTGTGATGAGCTAGTTACTGTGCCAGGAAGGACAAAGAACACATAGAAGAAAGCAAAGTAAATCAAACTGCCTCTGTCAGTCTTTCCCAGCTTCTCAAGATTCCTCCCCACACCCCTGCACAAACTAGGAATGGTCCCCTGGTTCAATGAGCACCCCAAAATCACATCTCCTTTTGCTATTCAGTGGTAGCAGAGAAAAAGAATAACATGGAATGTTTCTGAAAGTGTTTAAGAGGAAGGTTGCTGTGGATGACAGTTTGTTCTTATGCATCCTACACAACACAGATCACCCTGGAAAATCATTATTTCCAACCCTGCACCCTTGGTCCAACACTATTCCAGGATGAATAAATTTAACATCACTGTGCTGGCACCAATTCCACTACCCCACCTCTCTGATGTACCTGGGCCATTTCTGCTCTGGTTATTATAATGGGAAAGGTGAAAAGCCCTTATTTTTACCTTTGGCTGGGTAACATGCCCACCTCAGCCTGAGGTGCAGACATGCTGGAGAGATGGCTGGAGAACCTCCTCCTCCCAATGGCACCCATAAGGTATGTTTCTTGTTCACTTACCACACTGGGCATGCTCAAGGAGTCATCTAGAAAGAGAGAAAAAAAAACAGGAAAGGAGAGGAAACAACCACCCAAACCCCACCTGCATCTCGACAAGAGTTGTCCAGAGATAACAGGATGCCAAAGGTGTACCCAGCATTTACTTACCTAGAGCCCAAGCATGCAAATTGGAATATTCTAGTAGATTTTACAGCCACAGTGCAGAAAGACATACACATAAACCTCTGCAGGATGAGAAACCTGACAAACATGTGGCAGGGATTTATGGCTCTCAGGAAAACTTGTTTGTGGAATTCAGCTTCCACTAGGGCTTAATTTCTATTTATAATAAACTCCTTGTTAATATACAGTGTTTCCAGCATAAAAGTTGCAACAGACGTTTTCCTGCTGTGAAATAAAGTGCTGCTATGATCTAGCAAAGCACTGTGACAAAAAAGCCAAAATACCTGACAGCAAAAGGCAGAACTGACGCCCTTCAACACCCTTCAGGACATGCATTTTAAAATGTCACCAAAAATCTGGATAAATTGACTCAAATACATCATACTGCAACAGAACTATGCACACAGCTGGATTGCAATCTGGACTGCTTGAAATTTTTCAGTGCTGTTTCAAATTATATCAAGTATCCAGAAATAAATTACTTTATTGTGGTTTTTGCCACAACAACTTTTAATTACAAGTAAACAAAACAAAGGGGTGGGTTTGTGTAATTTTCTCTCCTCTTTTTGACCTTTTTTTCAATTCTGATGTACTGAAATATTTTACAGCAGTGTTTATCCAAGGCAGGGCTGAGGAAATAATGAAGCAGTTCAGATAGGAAGATGGCACTTAGCGTTCCACACAGTGGGCTCAGAATTAATCTGAGGCTGAAACTGTATTTTGCCACAGTGAGTAAATATCTGAACAATATACAAGCAGTACAGCTCTGGGTGGATTGTACAAAGTTTAAGTGGTGAACCCAGCTAAAATAAAGCTGCAAAGTTTCAGGCTAACTGCTCTTTTCCAAAAGGAAATTCTGCTCTAACTGCACGGACCTTTCTTTGAGCCCCCCATTTTCACTCCTGTTTGCAGGAACAGGATCCTAACTACACAGCCACAGTCCCTGCCCGCTGTGATGATGCCAACGAGAGGCCTGGCTGCCAAATGCCTCGTCAGCTCTGTGACAACTGCACATCCGCTCGGGTCTCGGGCACTAAAAACCTCCCTGTGCCCTTCCCTTTGCCCTGCCACAGCTCAGAAGGCAACGAAGAAATATGTTACAACCCAGACTTTAACACCGTGTACCAACCACACCAGCCGCTCAACCTCATTCTCCTGTGGCCCTTTTATTCCCACTGGGACAGGGGCAACTGTGTTCCCCTCCTGGGCGTCCTCGGGGCATCGAGAAAATCTCTTGAGTGCTGGGGGCTGAGTATCTGGCCACGTACTTTCTTCATCCTCCTCGTCCGTGCGGCTCAGCGTGTCCTGGGACGCCTGCTGGGAGGGCTCGCTGTCCTGCTCCCACACCGTGCCCGTGCCCGTGTTGGAGCGGGACATGGTGGCCAGGCTCAGCCGGTAAGCAGACGTGGAGGTGCCCACCGTGCTCACTGATGTCTTCCCTTGGTAAGCTGCACAAGAAAGGGAGAACCGAAGCCAAGTCACTGATGGCACTGGAAATCAACAGCGAGCCAAGAATTCCTGTCGTGCTGGGCACTCGTGGGGCAAGGGGAGCTTCTCACTCTCTACAACTTCCCAACAGGAGGATGGAGCCAGCTGGAGTTGGCCTCTCCCCTGCCACCAGCGACAGGACAAAAGGAAATGGCCTCAAGCTCTACCAGGAGAGGAATTTCTTCATGGAAAGGGTTGCTAAGCATTAGAATGGAGTCACCACCCTTGGAGGTGTTCAGGAACTGGATTTGGGACTTGGTGCCATGGTCTAGTTGACAAGGTGGTGATCAAGGTTGAACTTGATGATCTCAGAGGTCTTTTCCAACCTTAATGATCCTGTGATGCTGTGACAGGGGTGGCAGAGGTGATAAAACACTAGCAGCTGCCTGCTCATCTCACCTTTCCAAAATCTCTGTTTTACTTATGCAGTGTGATTTTTCACAACTTGTATTTGACAGATCGGCTTCAACATTTAGAAAACAAGGCAAATTATTGCCTAGGAAAAAAGACTGAAGCATTTCCTTTCAAATTTGTTTTCCTTAAGAACAAAGCAGATAAACTGTTTGCCATGTATGAGCAGCAGCTGCCATCTCGTGGCGACAGGAGTGGCCGTCACTGGAAAAAATTCTCCCCGTGTGCAGGAGAGAATTCTGAAGTGCCCCATCAGCTCAGGGATGCTGATCTGGATGTCACAGTAAAAAAAAAAAAAAATCAAAGAGACCAGGAGAAAGGAGGGGGAAGATCTGCTATTGCTGAACAGCCAGAACTTTACAGTGGCAAAGCACAAGCCAGCTGACACAGCAAGAGCCAGCTGCTGGGGAATAGGATTCACATTTGGTGAGAAAATAGGTGCATTTTACAACTAACTTGGACTTCTGTTGGCTGTAGTGGCAAGGCTGAGCATAAGCTGCAGGGTGTGTGTGGATTGCCCATGGGGATCCGTGGGGGATGCAGAGATCCA